TTGCAGTTGTATTGCTAGTTGAAGAGTGGAACTACTTTCTGTAGCAATTTCTGTCCATCTTTTTTTTCCATAACGTAAATTCAGATTTGATTTGAGAACCTGAACTAGGTAGAAATTTTTGATAAATTTCAATTTCTGAAGTTAAATCATCGTAATTTTTATCAGCAATATATTGTGTAACTATTATATATTTTTGTCATATGGTAATTGTGTTATCCTTTTATCTTTTCTCATTTTCTCTTTAGTTCTAAATTTGTGCATATATAGTTTATTATGCCTTGCCTATAGTCATTTCTTGATGATGACAATTGATAATTGTCGAGAGTTCGAAATAAAAATAATAATTTTCGTTGAAAATTTACAATGTTTTTTCTTGCAGTACTTTAATCAATAACAAAGGATGTGGTTGGGGTGCGTGTGGATGCAGAGAAGACCTTCATGCACATCCACACTCACACCCTACATCCGTTCCGCACATCATTCTGGCTGGAGGATAAACACTAATTTGTTATTCGTGGCTGTTTGATGAGGTCGTCAGCATCATCATTATCCCAAATTGTGCTCTACTCAATTTCAATTCATACGAATAATTTTAAACGCTTAATCAAATGTGAAGCATTGTCGACGACTGATGCCTGTTTTTGTACCAATGGCTGATCGAATGAAAAAGTTCAAGCCATTGAAGAGAAGTTATGTTTGAAATTTGCTCTAACGACAAATATGGGCTATTTCTATGATAAAGAAGCTTCCAGCGTGTCCCTATAGGATTAAAATATGAAAGACGATTGATTAGTTTTACTTATTAACGAGAGCTATATCCAAATCGATCTTATTATTCGTGAAAGTCAGATGGACTAACATATCCAAATATCTGTCATCGTCTGTGACACTTCATAAAGTTTTTCAATATGTCTGTCAAGATCTATGGGGTAGAGCGGGGAGGAGGAACTCTCATTTTTCTCCCTAATGTATGCACTTTAACATTTCTTTCCAATTTTGCTTCACAAAATATAATTGCAATAAATCAATCGCTCTCTGATGCATCGATTTAAGAAGCATGTACTTTCATGTAGATATAACTCAGCTCGTTTTGATGCAAATGGTTTTATCTGTAAAGAATTCACGAGTAAATGTATATGTTCTAACTATGCATCGTGTACTTGACATCGATGAATTTGTTATACAAAAAAAGGACAAATATATTAATTCATTATTGATAAGCAGATATTCCATTTTGAATGAATTTTGCGAAGTTTTATCTCAAGTACTTCGCTTGATATTTTACAAGAATGGAATTTCTATGAATATGTAAAATAAATGTGTATTCATATGAATTTATTCAATGTGTATTATATAAAAGGTTTTTATCAATAAGCAGAAAAAATGTCAATGCTCTGTTTTGATCATCTATGAAATGACACAATCAGCTTCAGCTATCGCACGCATCATTCGTCGTTCTGGACTGAATCGATCAACTAAACGACTCATTGGACCAAAATAATTATTTTGCATCCATGACAATGTATAAGTCATGATTTTATTTACTTGCTGTGATCGTCCAGCAATCAGAATCGATTGAACAGTCATAAGTTGATGACGAATTTGACTGAATTCATAGAATTGATTGGCTGAATTTCCACATAGTGCATCACTGTGAAAGAAAACTTTATTATCGAGTACGTCCGGACTAAGGGCTAAACAAAGTTTGAACACAATTTCATCTTCATCATCAGTTAATGTGCGGTAACTTTTATAATTAGTAAACCGTAAAATATTGGCATCGTCGCACTCAATTGTAGTACATACGCACTTCAAGTAGTACATGCACTTTGCTATATCATTATTTGGAACTGATGCAGTAACGCCTATATAAAAGAAAATATCAATTGATATTCTATTGATAGAGCAAGAAAATCATACCAATTCTTTCCACACCGATCTCTCGACGCTGAAAAACGGCCATTATTCGACTGTTTCAAGTGATGAAGGTTCGTTGGATAAGTTCACCTTCACAAAAAAGTGTGTACTGCCATAGTCTAGTTTGTAATCGAGCCTTTATATATGAGAAAAGTTGGTATCGGGATTCATCACATTGACAACTTTTCTGTGAAATATGTGCGAAATTTCTTCCAACTTGCACAATATATATTATCATAAACTCGGAAGACGAAAATGTTGCTCGTATTAGTATGTGCGCTAACATTATTGACACAAGAAGCAACCTCCTAGCTGTTTGTTGAAGAGAAAAAAAATTTAGTAGAAAAAGAATGTCACCACCTGACAATGAAGCAACTCTGCTTTTTCTTTTTCAAGAGCGCCAGAAAAAAAAATTATGAATGCTCACTTTGGTTCTCTAGTAGAGGAGGGTGTGGGTATGGATTGGATATGGGGTATAGGTGGGTGTCGGTGTGGGATGTGAGGTGTAGGTGGATGTTGGTGTGGATTGGATGTGGGGTGTGGGTGTGGGGTTTGGATATGAAGGCATCCCTCATCTCTTCCATCCTCACACGTCACACTCACCCACACCTCCATATAGTAAGTAAATCTTTCATTTTTTACTTCAGAATGCTATACACTCTAAGTTAAAATGTGTCGGATGTGTCGTGATTCACAACAC